GTGCTCGGGCGTTCGGCACACTCTTCGTCGTTCACATCTTCTCGGCCCTCTGAGAACATTTTGTACCACCGATAAACGTTGCTTCTGTCCAAGGTAGTTTCACTATATGCCACAGTCAACATTCGGAATGCGTCCGCGCACTTAATTTTGTTTTTCACACAAAATTTGATACAGATTCTTTGATCCATGTTTTGGAATAGGCAAAAATCTAAGACGAGCCAAAATACGTTCAAACAAAACAGCTGTCAAAGATAAACTGAATATTCAAAATAGACTTGTCGGCATAAGTGAGGGACATGAATACCAACATAGCGCAACAAAAAAATCGAAAATCGAATATACGTAAACCGCGGAAATTCAAAATTCGCTATACTTTTTGAACAGACCTCGTATATATTTTGGTTATTCAAAATATTTGGAGTACAAAAAAAAATTCATATAAAAAAATGTCTATATTCCAAAAAAATTTTTTCCGTTTTCATCGCTTCTTCTATGATTATTATATAAACAGTGGATTTCGCGAATATTTCCCAGACTTTCTTAAACAATAAAAAATTTGTATTAAAAACGATTAAATGAAATTTTTAGTATTATAACAAGAGAAATATAATGAAACATGCAAAAATATATGTAAAATATATTGAGTTGGCAAATAAGTTCGTTCGGTTTTTTAATCGGAGTAGGTTTACTCGTTCTGCTATCTCTTTTCTACAGCGCTATCGCACAACGCGCTTGCGCAGCTGAAAAACGACGTTTCACCTAACCTATTTGTAAACATACGCCGGTTAATACCAGAGTAGTGTGCGTACTGCACGGTTGCAAATATGGAAGAAAAGAACGTCCATTTTCGCCATATTTTACTTTTTTATTTCAAAAAAGGCAAACGAGCTGCGGAAGCTCATAAGAAGATTTGTAATGTGTATGGGGACGATGCTTTAACAGAACGTGTGTGTCAAAAATTGTTTGCCAAATTCCGTTCGGAAATTTTGATTTTAGTGACGCGTCCCGTTCTGGTCGTCCAGCAGAGATTGATTCAGCTGTAATAAAGAATACCGTCGACAAAAATCCATCGCAAACAGTACGAGAAATTGCTACGACACTTAATATATCCCACACAAGTGTAGAAAACCATTTGCGTCAGTTGGGATACGTTTCTCGCCTCAATGTTTGGGTGCCGCACGAATTGACCGAGGCCAACTTAACCGCTCGCATTTCCATCTGCGACGCGCTGCTGAAACGCCAAGAAAACGATCCATTTTTGAAGCGGTTGGTTACGGGAGATGAAAAGTGGATCGTCTACGATAACGTAGTACGTAAAAGATCATGGGGAAGCAGCAGTGAACCACCACAAACAACCTCGAAGGCAGGATTGCACCCGAAGAAAATTATGCTCTCAGTGTGGTGGGATTATAAAGGTATCATTTATTATGAGCTCTTACCATCAGGCAGGACGATCGATTCAACTGTATATTGCTCCCAATTAACGAAATTGAATCAAGCAATACGTTCGAAACGTCCAGAATTGGCAAATCGAAAAGGAGTCGTCTTCCACCACGACAATGCCAGACCCCATACTTCATTAACTACTCGGAACAAATTGTTAAGGCTTGCCTGGGATGTTTTGCCTCACCCTCCTTATTCACCAGCTCCCTCCGATTATCATTTGTTCCGGTCGCTGCAAAATTCTCTGAACGGGAAGAACTTTGCTAATAATGAAGCTGTTAAAACGCAACTGGATCAGTTTTTTGCCGGTAAATTTCAGACGTTTTATGAATGTAGGATTATGAAATTGATAAAAAGATGGCAAGAAGTCATAGAAAAGAATGGTCAATACATTATTGATTAGTATATATTTTGTATATTAAATAAATTGTATTTAATACTAGTCAAAAAACCGAACGAACTTATTTGCCAACCCAATATATATTAATTTTTTAATTTACACCTTGTTAAAGTAAAGCAGACTGGAGAAGGGTTAACAATGGCCGGCATTCGGATCTTTCTGATTTTAACTCTCAAGAACTAGAAATGTTCTATTACAGTAAGAATGATTAAAATCAGCTAAACATAGTTTAAACCGAAATATTTCGACGCAGTAACTCTAATTAATGTCATTTCTGCAATTTTAGGGACACGACTTTATCCGCCCCGACTGGTGCTTATTAAGGCGATTGTAACCTAATAATAGGCAACAGTTACGGGGCCCGATAGTGGTATTGGCACAGGCATGTTTCATCAAAACATTCCCCCTCCAACTGGCCCTCAGGTGCCAGAGGCTTGGCCTAATTTTTGGGTCAAGTGACGGGATATTTTGGAGTGATGATGAAGGGGAGACTGAGAAAAAGTTGAGAAGACTAAAGCCCGACAATTACATAGCGGCGGTTGTTCCTGACTTTTAGCGAATTTTAACATGCAAATTTTTCTAAAAAGAGATCACGTAGTGTTCTACGACCGAAGTTGCCCTTAAGGACCGTATTTGCTGACCTATACACGTAGCATAGGAAAAATAAGGACATCGTTTTATTTGAAATACAACGATTAATATTTTAACATAAAAAATATGCAACGTGAAGTCCCATCGTCTTGGCTCTTTGTTGCTAAGGTCCGGACTGACGAAGCGATGACAAGAGCAAGGGTCAGGAGTGAAAGGGAGGGTGAGTCGTAGTAGAGAGAGACCTAAACGTGAGGGAAAGAGAATTTATTTTTTAGCACAGTGTTATCCATGCTGCATCGTTGCAATGGACCGTTTGCGACGCGCGTATCGAATTTTGGCCAGTCAACCGTTGGTCAGACATGGTGCATCGCTGTGATTGGCCGGTTCGCAGCGCGCGTTGAATTTTGGCCGGTCAACTATGTGTCAGCCATGATGCAAAAGGGAAGTGACCTGCCAGGAAAACATGAGCATTGTTATGTAAGTGACTACGAAAACGTTTCTCTTATTCCTATCAGTAAAAATTTTTATACGTTAACTCTACGGTTGAATCAATTTTTGAGCACATTTTCAGGTAACGCACTTGGGAATGGGATGTGGGAAAACGCGTGCGCTGTCAGATAAAATTATTAACATGCGCGTACCTCGAAATTTTTCAGGAAGTAGTTAAGTATGAGAATTTTTTAATCTATAGATCGTAAATTTTTATTTATATCTACCCCGTAGGCGAGTCAAAATATAAATAATATTTTAAATTGTGCACATTCTCCAACTAGTTTCAATAAGGGGTTGTGCTCAAATTTTTTCTAATCTCCAAATCCTAAAATTTCGTAAGCAGGCTCGCAGGAAAAATCACTAAGCATTTTCTCATGTAATATGATATATTTTAAATTTTATGTGGTTGCATTCTACAGAGGATTTAGAAAAACTTAGAAAACATGTTTGAAATTCAAGAAAATTTATATATATATTATATAATATATTTTAAATAATATAATAGAAAGGTTCGACATTGTAAATTTTCCGTCTTGCTCGATAGTTGAGAGAAAAAGTTAGATCATGTTTAATTTATTAGTACTTGCGCAAAAGAGGGAAAAGATTATAGGATAAAAAGAAACAAAATCTATTTTATAAGTGGAAATCCAGAATTTTACTTTTAAATTTTAAGTTTTCTTCAAAATTTTATTGGTAAAATACGGTGTTCATCATAATTGTTCTAACAGTTACTTTGTAATGTATAGAAATTAGCTTATAAAATACAATTTCAAATTGGGTATCCAAAAATTCTTAATTTTTTTATTTAGCGCAATACATTTTGCTCGATATCACGATATTGCTTGATAAAGCTTTGTCTTACATCTTAGTTCACAGAACGTTTAGGTAGATTAACTTCTATTTCTTTTGTTAGAAATCACGCGTCATCGTTGACTAGATTTGCAAACAAATCTATTGGAGCGTATCATGCGTTTACACAATTTCCAAAATTTTTGAGACCTTCTTAAGATGTTTTCTGCATCGCAATGGACGGAGTGCACGTTCTTCACTTCTTCGCAGGCGATGATGTAATAGTATCGTTTATTACCGCAGTACAAGAGCAAATCAATTCGTACTCTTGTTAATAATGAAGACGCAAGTTTTTAAATAAAATTTCTATTTTCAACTTAATCCCTTGTTAGGAGGATATATTTTCCTCAACGCCCCTGCCATTTTTTTAACCCTCCTGAAGAATAAAATTTGTTGTTTACTTTGTAAAATAGGCCTCTGTTTCGACAAAGACGTTTCTTCATTAGACATGAATCTTTTTCCAACTAGCCATTTTTTCACGTTCGGAAACAGAAAGAAGCCGCAGGAGACCAAATCCAAAGAGCACGGTGAATGCGTTAGCAATCCGCAGTTAAATTTGACCAATTTGGCTGTGGCTACTGCGGAGGAATGAGCCGGTGCATTGTCGTGGCAGAATAATATTTTCTTTTGCCAAATGATGCAGTTTCTTCTTCAATTCAACATCGAATTGGCCTAATAAATCAGCATAGTATTGTCTAAATAGTCGATTTAGATCACGCCTTGCGCATCCCGAGAAACAGTGGCCATCATCTTTCCGACCGATGGGACCGTCTTGGCCTTCTTCGGAGCGTGTTTGCCGGGTGAAGTCCACTGTTTTGACTGGTCCTTGGTCTACAGTGTGTAGTGATGGATCCATGTTTCATCAACAGTCACGACTTGATGCAAAATATCTTGCGGATTGTGCTTAAACATCTACAAACACTGCTTCGAAGTTAATAGCCGCAACCACTTGTTGTCCACCGTGAGCAATCGCGGCATCCATGGGGTCGACTGCGTTTTCATTCTCAAGTTATCATGCAAAATATTGAATGCGGTTCCGTACACGCCTACGGCCTCTGATACTTCATGCACTTTCGTTCGGCGATCAGCGAGAATCATACAGTGGATCTTCTCATTGATTTCCTCAGTAATCACGTTTGCCAGGCGGCCTCGGCGATCCTCATCAAAAACAGATTAACCACCACGTTTGAATTAGTTGATCCAACATTTAACGGTTGTCATAGATAGTAAATCGTTTCCAGAGACGGCATCCAACTTCGTTTTTATTTCTTCGCAAGTTTTTCCATCCAAAAATAAAAAGCGAATCACTGAACGATATGGCTATTTTTCCACTGTATCGAAAAACATCAAACATTACAAATTGATGTCAAATCAAAACTATCGCATGAAATAAGGAAAAAATTTTAGCACCACCACTTATTGAAACTTGTCAGAGAATGTGCACAATTTGAAATATTATTTATGTTTTGACTAGCCTACGGGGTCGATATAAAAAAAAATTTACGATCCATAGATTAAAAAATTCTTATACTTAACTGCTTGCTGAAAACTTTCGAGGTACGCGCATGTTGATAATTTCATCTGACAGCGCGCGTGTTTTCCCACATCCCATTCCCAAGTGCGTTACTTGAAAATGTGCTCAAAAATTGATTCAGCTGTAGAGTTAACGTATAAAAAATTTTTACATAATAGGAATAAGAGAAACGTTTTCGTAATCATTTACATAACAATGCTCACGTTTTCCTGGCAGGTCACTTACCTTTTGCATCATGGTTGATCGGCTAAAATTCAAGACGCGCGCTGCGAATCACAGCGATGCACCATGTCTGACCAACGGTTGACAGGCCAAAATTCGATACGCGCGTCGCAAACGGTCCATTGCAACGATGCAGCATGGATAACACTGTGCTAAAAAATAAATTCTCTTTCCCTCACGTTTAGGTCTCTCTCTACTACGACTCACCCTCCCTTTCACTCCTGACCCTTGCTCTTGTCATCGCTTCGTCAGTCCGGACCTTAGCAACAAAGAGCCAAGACGATGGGACTTCACGTTGCATATTTTTTATGTTAAAATATTAATCGTTGTATTTCAAATAAAACGATGTCTTTATTTTTCCTATGCTACGTGTATAGGTCAGCGAATACAGTCCTTAAGGGCAATTTCGGTCGTAGAACTCTACGTGATCTCTTTCTAGAAAAATCTGCGTGTTAAAATTCGCTAAAAAGTCAGGAACAACCGCCGCTATATAATTGTCGAACTTTAATCGGAGATACTCGTGGAACGGTATTTTTTTATTTTTAGCGAAAAATTTACGAATAATTTTTGCGCGGTGTGAAATAGTGCATTATCGTGATGCAAAAACCATGAATTGCTTTGCAACAAGTCTGGACGTTTTTTCGAATGAATTCACGCAAACGACGCAAAACACTTATATAATATTCCTTAATATCTGTTTGACCAATTAGAAGGAACTTTTTGTGGACAATACCATGGTAAACGAAGAAAACAATTAATATGACTTTGATTTTTGACCGGCTTTGACGTAGTTTTTCGGCTTTAGTTCATCTTTAACACAACACTCGCTCGATTGTTGAACTGTTTCAGTGTCATAAGCATAGATCCATGTCTCATCACCAATAATTATGCATTTCAGAATGCCATAACCCAAAGTATACATTTCTTCAGCAACTTAAACACGATGATGTTTTTCAAGAAAATTCAGTTTTTTCGTAACAAGACGAGGAAACACAAGAGACAAGCATAAATTTTTTTTCAAAATTGATTGATTTGATTGAATGATATTCCAGTAATATCCACAATTTCTCCAATATTTAATCGGCAATTATTCAGTACAAAATACTTGATTTATAAAAATGTTTTTTTTCATTGGTTAATGCGGAAAGTTTTCCTGAACGAGGTTCCTCCTCAACTGCATCTCTACGATTACTCAAGTCTTTGTACTACTTGTAAACATTTTTTTTTACATTGTTTCATCATCATAACACTTTCTTAACATTTTTAATACTTCAGCACAAGAAATTTCGTTTTTTTAACCTAATTTAATATAAATTCTTTGTTTGATAAATTTATTCATTTAAAAAAGCCGCCGACAAAAATTTGTAACAATTACAAAAGACGCTATAATTTCTAACCTAACAAGCAAAATGACATGAAATTTCTATCAATTGTCAAAGACAGTCATATCAACTTAAAAAGAAAATGATTGTATCGGTATATAAAACATGTAAATTTTTAAAACAAAAATAACATTACTTTCTGATCGTAGTAGTATATAGGGTGTCTCAGACTACCCGTCTCACCCGATTTTTTTGTAAACGTGATATTTTAAAGAAAAATGTTTCAGACAAAAGTTTTGTGACTTTGAGGGGCACATAAGATNATAGTCGTTTGAAGATCACGTGAAGGTCACCTTTAATTTCTTAAATAAAAACCCTCATTTTTCAATGCATATTCTTGTAGCTTACCACGAGAGCTTTCCAAAACGCTATAATGAAACGTTTTTTAATCAGTACTTTTCGAGTTATGAGGGTTGAAAGTTACAGTACCGCCGGTATTAGCATTACTCAAGGTGGAGGTTGCACGTTCGGATTTACACCTTTTTGTGTGTTTGTGTGCTTGTGTGTGTGAATGTGTGTATGTCAACACAGATAAGGACCCCACGGATCGTCACTCCCGTAGTATTTATCGACTCTCCCCTCTCAAACCCTCTCTGCTGTACGCGCACGCGTGTGTGTGTGTGTGTGTG